GTTTATTGTCCCATCTGAACGACTAGACGCTCTTTTCATGTCAGCCTCTCTTACCTACATCACTGACAGGGGAAACTGGGTTGAAAAATCTGAAGGTATTATCTCGACCTATGTTAGTTGTTTGAAGATCACACAGTGTGAAACTCAGAGTAACAACATGTTTCAGGTTCTGTTTTAGTTGTTTGAAGATCACACAGTGTGAAACTCAGAGTAACAACATGTTTCAGGTTCTGTTTTAGTTGTCTGAAGATCACACAGTGTTAATCTTTAAGGAACAACATGTTTCAGGTTCTGTTCTAGTTATCTGAAGATCACATAGCGTGAAACTATGAATAACAACATGTTTCAGGTTCTGTTATAGTTATCTGAAGATCACACAGTGTGAAAGTTTAAGGAACAACATGTTTCAGGTTCTGTTTTAGTTGTCTGAAGATCACATAGCATGAAACTATGAATAACAACATGTTTCAGGTTCTGTTATAGTTATCTGAAGATCACACAGTGTGAAACTTTAAGAAACAACATGTTTCAGGTTCTGTTTTAGTTGTCTGAAGATCACACTGTGTTAATCTTTAAGGAACAACATGTTTCAGGTTCTGTTTTAGTTGTCTGAAGATCACACTGTGTTAATCTTTAAGGAACAACATGTTTCAGGTTCTGTATTATTATTATTTGGAGGTTTCCTGTTTACTATAATAGTAACTATAATCTGTATGTATATAGATGTATTTAGTATTTATTCACGTGCAATATTTGATATTTGTTCAAGTTGATAATTTGCGATAGTTGTATATCGCCAAGTTCTACTCTCTGTCTATAATAAGCTTAGATTCAATTTTTATACGCCCACATCTCTCTATGTGGACGTATATTGTCGGCACCCCTGTCCGTCCGTCGGTCAACATTTGCTTGTAAACGCGCTAAAAACTCTAGATTTTTTGATGGAATCAAATGAATTTCGGTATGTGTAGACATATTCATAAAACAAAGATCTAGTTCGAATTTGAGCTATTTTCGACCGTTAGAAGCAGAGTTATTGCCCTAACCCCAAAATCTTGAATATTTACCATCCGCATGCCGTGGTGGGCGTATATGGCTGTGGTCCACTATCTTTTTCTCTCTTATTTCAAATATTCAAATTAATATGTTCAACTGTATGCCATTTGTTTTAGAATGTCTTGGGATCTATAGAAATATAAGGTTTGGGAATTTTACAGTTGATTGTAAAGGGATTTCTTAAATCAGGAATTGTATGGAAGTTTTCTTAATTTTTTATGTGTATCAGGAACACTGATAGCATCAATTTACATCATTCTAATTTTCAATCAGACGTCTGTGATTCCTGCAATTCCACTAAAACTAAGTGTTTGGTGACGTCATTAAATGCTTAGT